ATAAATCTTATAAATTTTCCAATTCTGTAAAAAAATCTTATGCTTCTCATCTTTTGGTTTCTTTTTTATAAACAAAAACCTAGATATTAAAAAAACTCGAGTGCAAGATAATCCTCCAATACCTCTAATGGTTTTAATGAACGCAATTTCTATAGTTTTTTAAACATGATTTTTCTAATTCTGACATGAAAATTATATATATTAACCGTAAAGAACCATGTAAGTCGTCATGTCATTGATGAAGTCACGAAACCTTGGAGGTTCAGAACTAATAATCTTCTGACATTTATATTCTTATAATAAATCCATTTTAAATGAATTTGAAAGGAAAGTGATTGGAAAAAATATTAACTAATCATAATAATTTCTATTTACTGCTAAACAAAACATATAAATCTGATTTTCTAGAGGCAAAACTGTAACCGACAGCTATGTCTTAGCAAAAGAAAATACCCGTATTATTCTACGTTGTGAGCGTGGAGTCTCATAACCTCCTAACCAACCGCAACTATTTTAAGGGTTGGAAGACTATATGGCACGAAATTTAAAAATTTAAGGGATTTAAAGGTAGAGAGAGTATTTTTCTTAACTAATTATTGAGATGAGTAAAATCATGGTTATGTACTCATCTCAACAATTAATGAAAGTTGTTTCGATCATGATTCTTTAGGGGCAACAAAAAAACATACTGTAAAGAAGATCACGTAAGTAGTTTCTTTCGGAAGAATTCTTGAGGTTGTATTCGAAAGAACACTAAAATCAACTTCATTGATCAATGTGCAAGATGAAATGTTATATTGCACAATAACAAGTTTTTGTCAAAATTGTACTTATTTTTTCTATAGTTTTTGAATTTTTGATTCATCTAAGAATATCTAAGACCATTTCCAACCCAAAACTCTATTTTTTTACTCTAAAATTGAGTAACTCTAAAATGGAATTGTGTTTTACTCCAACCCTACTATATTTTGAAGTAAAAAATGGAGTGAAGAATAAAAAAATGGAGTGATAAATGAGATTACTCCATATTTGAAGTAAACCTACCTTTTACTCAATTTTGGAGTGAGAAATGGAGTGGGGTTAGGGCATCTCCAACCCATCCCTATTTTTTCCTCTAAAAATGGAGCAAAAATAGCATTGCTCTATTTTTTTCCCATCTCACCTCTATCTCCAACTATTTTTTCTCTATATAAAGAGGAAAAAATAGAGAAATGCTATATTTGATTCTAAAATAGAGGAAAAAATAATATTTTTTTCTAAAATAGAAATACATTGGAGTGAAAATATAGGAATATTATTTTTTACTCTATTTTAAAGTCAAATATAGAAAAATACATTGGAGATGATCTAACATAAAGTCACACCCTCCACAAATATGATATATATTCTTGTATTGTCATCTTTTCATTTGTTTTAATTATTGCTATACAACTTTTAGACTCTCATATTAGTTCCTATGAAATTGCTAAAGCAAAGAAACTGACAATAAAATCAAATAAAACTTTTTGAAAAAGCTTTTCGTGTATGTGCGGGTATTGGCATAGTAAATGGATAAGATTTTTAACTCGTGTTGCCTTTACAATTGAGCTTTTAAAGACATCATTTTCTTTGGGATAATATTATTATGCTAGATAATTAAACACAATATCGGCGGTGCATGATTCGATATAATTTTTAATTAACTTTGGATGATCCGATCAGCATCGAACTGGGACGACAATCAATCGAAGCTGATCTGACAGATTTTTTTCCCCAGCCATAGCTTGTATGACTTAAACTCGGACAAGCGTTTGTAAGCATATATTCCCTCATATATTCCCGATTCAAATATCACATGCGCACTTGGACACAGGCATAATTGAGAATATTTATCATATGACTTAATGCGTCAACCGAATAATCGTTGGTATTTCTCATTTTTTCCACATTAATTAGAAACTCTTTACGAATCTCGATCCGTATATTTAATATTCTCTCCGCTTCAAAATGTAAGTTGTTTTAACTAAAAACGCAGATATTAAGTAACTACTTTTCTACTAAAAAGTATCATTTAATATATTTAATAAAAATAAATTGACCAATTATACAAAAGACTGCAAAATACTAGTTGTCACACAATATTCAATAAAGTTAAAAAGTACCTAGAATTATCAAAACAACTTACATTTTGAAACAAAAAAACCTCCAAAACAACTTATATTTTAAAACGGAGGAAGTATATAGAAATAGTCGAATATAATCAATTCAGAATTAGATATTTTATAAATAATATGAAAAAATCCAATCGAACATGTTGTTTTATCCATTTATTTTGTAAAAGCGTTTTGAGCTTAATCGTTAGAAATTGAGCTTAATTCCAAGGTTTAGGGTGAAATTCTATTCTTTTGATTTAAGATATGAACGATCCAAGAGTTTGCTATAACAAGATTAAGGAGAATCAATGGTTACAAATTTGCTTCCTATTATTTCTTGCTCTTCTTCTAGTTTTAGAGCAATCGTCCTGCGTATAGTTCCATTGCGGTGTTTTTAAGTTAAAATTAATAAATTTATGGGGTAGTTTGATTCTGTTAAGATATACAACGCCAAATTACTCACGAACTCATGCGTTTTGGCTTTCTTTTTTTAAATAAAGGGTTTTCTACGTTACATCTTTCGTCTCTC